TCCTTGTAATTTTGATAGTGCATTTTAGTACTGTACCCTGTACACTGTACTTACTGTATTAAGGAACCAGTTCAGGGGTTCAAAGTTTGCACCATACAGTTTTTGGAGCCTGGCTATTTACAGGAGACGTACAGTATACCTGTACTGTAGTTTGTTTGTGGGATCAAAAATCAATGTCATGCCATCTTTGAATCTCTTAAGCTGATCCCTAAATGCTATTTAATACTGGATGTGAATTTTGTTTCCAAGCTGCATACAGAAGGGGTGTCAGTTCTTCATTAGAATATAGAAGATGGTAGCTGGTCCATTTCTACTACTTTTTTATCAAGTATAGCTTACATTTAAATGTGAGCATTTTATCTCCTTTTATTACCTCTTGCATCATGTAAAGCAAACTAAACAGTGCAGTCACTTAATTTATATTTTACAATGATGTAAGAAGAGGTAATAAAAGGAGATAAAATGCTCACATTTAAATGTAAGCTATACAGTCATGCTACTAGCTCATAAACAAGCATCAAAAACCCCGTACTGTACTATTGTAGTCAGCCTTTACTAGAACACAAGATGCAAAAATCACCTTTAAATAAAAGTGAAAGCAAAATCTGATACATTGTGATGAATATACAAGTACAGTATCTTGAACGTGACTGCAATTTTATATTTGCATCACACTAGCTGAGTTTTCATTGTAAAACACAATGCTTTCATTACCAGTTATTTAAGCCCAAATGGAAAAGATGGAATCTTACTTTCAGTATGTCTTGTTGAGACAGGAACATATTTCAATACTTAGCCACTCTCAAATACCTTTAGCTGTTTTAAATCTTAAGCCAGCTTTATTTATTTCAATCGACTCTCTTCCTTGTTGTTATCACTCTGGGTTTCTGGCCGTCAGACATCCACCAACTGCTGGACCACCGCTAACAGCGAGGGTCTGATCACACCAAGCGATCTGTAAAAAATGTTACACAAGATCATGGGTTTAAGAAAAAATGTAGTTTTTATTGGGATATGTGAAAGTAAATTTGCATTTTTTACATAATTTATAGAAAGTAAACTTTATCCATAAATAAACAAAGGCATAGAAAAAAAATGCACAAAAAGTAGATCATAAATACAGTTCAGCAAAAAATGCCCTGTACGAAAGAAGACATAGTAAGATAAAATATAAGGATTGAAACCCACAGAAAAATACAAAGATAAGGCAGTGTTACAGTACATGTAGATAATTTTTTTGTACTCGCTACTTCCACTGAGCATCTCGTAACATGCTGTGACAGGGAGGGGATCCGCTAAAAGCATAAAGATCAGTGAAATTTATAACTTAGTTTTTGTGTAATCTTCTTGACACATTATGCGTAAGGAATGGCCGAAGCAGTAGAGTACGTACAGGTAGTTCTTGATGTGAAATATCTAAGTACCCTGTACTATAGTACTGTAGTCCATAACCTAAGATTCTCTGGTTTTAGGGGACAAGAATGAATGAAAATACTGTGTGAAAAATATACAGTTGTCAATACGTACAGTGGTCCCTCGGTTAACGAACACAATTCGTTCCAGAGGGTCGTTTGTTAACCGAAAATTTCGTTAACCAAATCCATTGTTTTAAGGGGATATTGGGCAGTTGGTTCCAGCTCACAGAAAAGTACATACCCGGTACCAAAAAAAAAAATGCAGTAAAGTACACTTACTTTGAGGTGTGTATGCAGAAGGCTCCTGGTTGATGATGCTGATGGGAATTAGAAGTTGGGGGTGGAGGAAGTGGGGGTGGAAATCCTGTCTCCTTTTTGAAGAGGAACACTGAGGGGAAGCATCTTTCTCATGCTGCCTTTTAGAGAAGAAACTGTAAGTTTTTCGTTGTGGGGCATTTTTCCTCCTGATCATTAGCTGGTTCTTGAAGAAGGAGACCACTTTGTCCTCCACAGTAAACAAAATCGATTTTGCTGTTTTCACATCAGGGTGCCTTGAAGCCAGTTTCCTGAACATCTCCCAGTGGTGAACAACATCTTTTAAGTCTGATGAAGACATATGGTCATCACTTTCCTTTTCCTCCTCACCATTGTCTGTTTCTAGCATCTCATCCAGTTGTTTCAAGTCTTCAGGAGTAAGTTCCTGCTCATGAGACATCACAAGCTCTTCAACATCATCCTCCTCCACTTCGAGTCCCATTGATTGACCAATGGACACAATTGCCTTGTCCAACTCCGTTTCTTCCTCAAATCCCTCAAAATCATGGACTGCTGTTGGCCACAGTGCTTTCCATGCAGAATTCAGGGATCGAATGGAGACTTCTTGCCATGCTGACTCGATCAATTTTACAGCCTCCAGGATGTTGTATTGCAGCTTCCAGAACTGTGCCAGTGATAGATCAGGATCAGTGGTAGTTGCCTGATGACACCTTCTGAACATATTCTTCATGTACAGCTTCTTGAAGTTGCTGATTACATTTTGGTCCATTGGCTGCATAATTGATGTAGTGTTGGGAGGCAAAAACAACACTGACAAAGTCAAATGGAGCCTCTAAAGTGCTGGCAAGTTCAGGGTCATGACCAGGGGCATTATCCAGAAGAAGAAGAGCCTTTAAAGGGAGTTTATTGGTGGTTAGGTAACTTCACAGAAGGGCAAAACACCTCAACTGCCCATTCATTAAAGAGCTGTCTCGTTACCCATCCCTTATGGTTTGACTTCCAATAAACTCCAAGTTGTCCTCTTACCACCTTTTGTTGCTTGATCACCCTGGGGTTCTCAGAGTGGTATACAAGCATAGGCTTCAGTCGGAAATGCCCTGAAACATTGGCACTAAGCAATTGAGTGAGACGGTCCTTCATGGGTTTATGCTCCAGTAAAGAAGCTTCATCTCTGTTGATGAATGTCCTTTTGGGCATTTTCTTCCAGAACAGCCCGGTTTCATCCACATTGAAAACTTGCTGTGGAAGATAATTCTCTTCATCCATCAGTTCCTTGAACTCCACTACAAATTTTTCAGCTCCTTCTTTATCTGCACTGGCAGCTTCACCATGCCTAACAACACTATAAATGTCACTTCTTTTCTTAAACTTATCGAACCAGCCCTTGCTGGCCCTGAACTCTTCAAACTCAGTTTCAGAAGAACTACGTTGATCTTTCTTCAAATGTTCGTATATTTCCCTGGTTCTTTCACAAATAAATTCAGTAGAAATGGAATCTCCCTTCATTTGTTTTTCTTTAATCCAAATAAGAAGTAACCTCTCTGTTTCTGCAATTAATGATCTACCTTTAAACACTGGTAGATTTATCTCTCACTTTCACTTCTTTAAATTTGTCTTTCTGCACCAGAATTGTAGACACAGTTGATGCCGACATGCCATATTCTTTACTCAGTACATTGGTTCTAATGCCTTCTTCATGTTACTTAATAATTTCCTGTTTCACTTGAATTGAAATCGCCTTTCTAGATTTCTTTGGACCCATGCTGGATGCAATACAGTAGCTGTAATTAAAGATTATTATATTTAAATCAACACTGCACTGCGCTATATATTATCAATACTTGTATGTTAAATAAATTTCACAATGACCAATAATGGTAATGTAAAAACGTAAAAATACTCTGTGTTCAAGAGAGCCACAAACAAGATGTTTCCTTCACTGTAAACAGTTAAACAGACGCTTTGGTGGGTGAATGAAGTGGCTGATGGGCGCACCAAAAACTAGTTCCATATACTGCATATACAGTATTATCAATATGCTAAATAAATGTTAAAATGACTAATAATTTTAATATAAAACTTGCAAAAATATTAAAGAGCACAATCCTTCTTGATATTTACTCCAATGGAAACGAATGTAAGCCTAGAACCGATTACTGTATTGGCGGACTAGCCTATCAGCTGATGCTCAAGCCAAAACATGTTGTCGTAAGGATTTTGTAAATCGATAAAGTTTTGTTCGTTAACCGAAATGAAGATCCTTATGGAAGGTAATTCGTAAACCGAACCGTTCGTTAACCGAGGTACCACTGTATAGTACATATGTTTTGCACACAAGTACAGTTACTGTATAATAATATATTTTGTAGCACATATTAGTAGAGAACCACTTTTCCACGAGATAAATTTTACAGGCTTGTCCATAAATATTTAACCTTTTTGGGGCACTGCTGTAGAGGATGTTAGGACTACAATGGCTAGTACAGTACAGTATTTGTATTATCTATACAGTAAATGAATAATAATATTTTTTTCCAGACTGGTATTTTCTTAGGTATTGGGGAGGGAGGGGGGTAGTCCCTCTGATCACACTAATGATCATTTTATTACCAACCTGTGACCTTTGTAATGACAGTTACACTACATCATTTTCCTCAATTTATTGGTTGGCAACCCCCAGGTGAGAAGGGATAGCTAAGACCAAGAAATAAATGAGACTTGTGAACAGCTCAGCACACCATAATAGTACTGTAGTGGGTCCCTGGGTTACGAATGGGTTCCGTTCCTGAGGACGTTCTTAAGTCGGATTTGTACGTAAGTCGGAACACATGCTATGTGCATACCACACTTACAGAACAATGTTTAAAATACCTCTATAAGCCTAAGTCCTTATATACATCTAAAATTATTTAATTTAAGAGAAAAGAAGAAATAGAATGACAAAATACAGTAAATGTAAGTAAAGAGGTCATCAGGTAAATAAAATACTGTACTGTACTGAAAATTTCAAGTTTAACCCCGTTAGTATCGGCAGGCGTTCGTAAGTCGGACGTTTGTAAGTCGAGGCTCCCCTGTATACTATATACAGTGCCAGTAACCCTGTATGGCCATGGGATTGAACTTGTGTTTGTGGGTGTGGATTCCAGAACACAACCTGCAAAGCACTGTAGTCCTAATAATATAAATATTTGAATTGTGCAAGGTTCCGATTGATTCAGGTGATTTAGAGTGACAATATTATTTTTGTTACATGGTAATATCAGAATTTTTGCTAATAGCAGACTCTTGTCTTTTTCCCATTTGTTGCAGTAGTAAGCAGCACATGATCGCCATGGGTAGTGACCAACACTTTTGCCTGCGGTGGAACAACTTTCACAGCAACATTGCCACATCGTTTGAACATCTTCGCGACCATGAGGACTTTGTGGACGTGACGCTGGCATGTGAGGGGCGCAGTCTGAAGGCCCACAAGGTGGTGCTTTCGGCCTGCTCCCCCTACTTCAGAAACTTGCTCAAGGTAAGGAATAGTAATTACAGAATGATTTTATAACTGAATAACAAACTTTGTATGTATTATTTTGTTTAAGTAAGACTCATATTATCTTGAAAATAACATTTATCCTATTTTTCTCTTCCAGCAAAATCCTTGCCAGCACCCCATTATAATTTTACGAGATGTGGCATATGTGGATATGTCAGCTCTTCTCAGCTTTGTGTATCAAGGAGAAGTTTATGTATCTCAAGACAGGCTTACAACCTTTTTACGCACTGCTGAGATGCTTCATATTAAGGGACTCACTGAACAGAATCAGCAGCAATCTCACATAGCTGCACACCAGCTGCAGAGAGATCAGGTATAGTAATAAGATTGTTTAGTGATTATCATCCCATTTTAATCCAACCCATGACCAGTTTTATTTGGTCACCAGTCTCATTTTAGTCCACCACCTTGATCTTTGGTGTACCAATTCTATTTAAATTTCACCTCTCCTATGTACTTGGGTCATTCCTGTTGTTCCTGTTGTACCAGTAAAGAAGAGAGTTATTGCAGCAGTCACTCTCAAATCAAATTTACAACTAACTGAACAAATTTATTGCCATATGTCCTTGCAAATTATTCAGTTTTTCTTGAGTGCCCATGAAAATTCCTCAGATATCTAGAACTTACCGTATATACTCGTGTATAGTTCGAGTTTTTAAGACCAAATTTTTAGGCAAAAAATTGGGGGTCGTCCTATACATGTGTAATAGTTTTGTTAGGTTGAACCCATGCTTGATGGGAAGGGCGAGGAGCAACTTTTAGCTTCAGACATGAAAAATATTTACCATTTACTGCCAGTAAACAATGGAAACGTAAAATATGTACCAATTAGTAATGAAAAGTTGTGCAGTTCCTTCAGCAAATGAAGCTCACCAACTTACAATAGGCTAAATTACCTTACAACGTGCTTTCAGCAGCCTATGTTGAAGTTCTTAGCACAGGTTAACTTATCATATCATATACGGTATCACAGTTATCATTGATCTACAAAAAATACCGGCAATAATAACCTTTTTGATATTTCACACGTAATATAATACCCGGTAATCTACTTCAACCTCCTATTGTTTACAACGACGCATCACGCACCACCAGCTGTATCAGCTAGACGGTACACGTGTTTTTCGAATCGTTTTCAGTTAAAAAACTGTTACATCACATGTATATTTTACCTTAACTGTGCCTGAATGAATATATTCTCGGAAATAAATAGTAGTTTTGCTGAAACGTGATATATTTTAATGTAAAATAGGATAAAATACATGACGAAAACAAAAGATTTTACCTAACCTTCCGATGTTCAAGAGAAGTTACTCGTTTTTTTAATAGTTTTTGGTTAAAATATTGTTATATTACAATGGTATTCTATTCATACTGTGCTTGATATAATGCATTCACGGAAATGTAATATTTTTGCTGAAATGACATACGTATTACAGTGGAAAGTGGGATAAAATCGTGACGAAAACAATGACTTTTGCTTTCTTTCGTTCAAAAGATGTTACCGTAATCGCTTTTCGAATGGTTTTCAGTTAAAAAACTGTTGTATTACGATAATATTCTATCCTAATTGACTTGAATAAATACTACGATACCATATTTCTGAATATTTTCATTAAAATCCATCAAAATCATTTTCCTTGTCATCGTCTGCAGCACCAAACAGCTTCTCCCAGTCCTCTCCTTGAACAGGGCTAGAGGGTACGTGTTTTTCGAATCGTTTTCAGTTAAAAAACTATTACATCACACGTATATTTTACCTAAACTGCGCCTGAATGAATATATTCTCGGAAATAAATAGTAGTTTTGCTGAAACGTGATGTATTTCAATGTAAAATAGGATAAAATACATGACGAAAACAAAAGACTTTACCTAAGCTTCTGTTCTTGAGATGTTACTCGTTTTTTTAATAGTTTTCGGTTAAAATTCTGTTATATTACAATGATATTCTATTCATACTGTGCTTGATATAATACATTCACAGAAATGTAATATTTTTGCTGAAATTACGTACATATTACAGTGGAAAGTGGGATAAAATCGTGACGAAAACAATGACTTTCGCTTTCTTTCGTTCAAAAGATGTTACCGTAATCGCTTTTCGAATGGTTTAGTTAAAAAACTGTTGTATTACAATAATATTCCTTCCTAATTGACTTGAATAAATACTTGAATGGAAATATACAATATTTTTGATGAAACTACCCGCGTTTCAGTGTAAAGTGTCGTAATAATAAATGGTAAACAATTTGCCTTCGGCACTCATGTTTCAGGCACGGCGAACCTCAGTTTATAGGACGTAGAGCGTTTTTAGTGAAGGTTTTGTTGTTCCATTACCCTCAAAAACGTGGGTCGAACTATAAACGAGGAATATCGTAAATTAACGATTTCTTGGTCAAAAAATCAGGGTCGACTTATGAACGAGGGGGGTTATACACGAGTATATACGGTATGTATTTATTCATAATAAGGATGCAGATTAAATTTGAAATATTTAGGACTTGTACAGTGTGGGGCTCATTTCCTTAAATGTTGCAAAACTAAAGAAACAAAAAGAATTGTAATGTACAGTGTACTATAATTGGTTATATTTTGCAGGTTGTTTCTCTTGTTTAACTTTAACTTTAATTTTCTCTGTAGTACCTGTATGCGTTTTTTAATTGGCATTGTGTTGCATAAGTTCATCATGTGAGTGTGTGTAAACTTTCCATTGTCCGGAGTACAGTATACGTCTTTAATGGATAAAGATGCTTTTGTGAAACTTCATTAAATATTATTCATTGGACAAGATGCATAATAAGAAATTAAAGGTCTAATATGGCAGTACCTATGCATATAATATAAGATGGTACTCTTGTTAGAAGTGGTATTTGTACATTTATCATGCATGATATCATATTTTTTACATAACATGTAAGTAAAAATGCTCTTAATTAATACTGTATCTGCATTTTATTTTCATTTAGGGAGGGTTGGTAAACAAGGTGGTGAGCAGCCTGGGTGCCATAGCAGTTCAGGGTCCGTCCTCACCATGCTTGAGATCCACACCTTCACCCACCAGCCATATGCTCCAGCAGCCGTCCCACATCTCACCACCACCCAAGAAACGCCGACCAGCCAGTAGTCCAATCCTCAGCTTACCAGTTTCCACCGCAGCACCTTCTACCCCACCCCGCTCAGATGTGCCCTCAGCCCGAATAGAATTAAGTCCTCACTTGGAGGGATCTACATTGGCTGCAGCTCTCACTAAGCCTCTTAATTCAGTCAGTCAGAGAGGAGACAACACAAGCCGAAGCTCGCAGCCTGCGCCTCCCCCACAGTTACCCCCGCCCCCACTGATAGCAGCCCCCCTCCCCGCCCCAGATGTGCCAAAGGTAAAGCAGGAAGATGAGGGGGAGGGGGTTGGGGGAGAAGAGGACTGCCATATACCAGACCAGGCAGTAAATCTAGTAACAGAAGGCTCCATTTTAAGGCAGCGCATCCAGGGGTACCAAGGAAGCAGTGATGCACCCCCAGCTCTACCTCCACCTACCAACAGTTCCAGTAGCCGCCCTACACAGGCACTGCTACATCCTCACATCGTTAAAGACGACTCCCTTAGTGATGACACGAATATAGGTGAAATGGGGGTAGAGTTGGGAGAAGGAGGTGGGGAGAAGGAGGCTCTAGCCAGTCCACCACCCATGGTGATCAGACCACCACTCATGGGTCTTCTACCAAGGGAAGCTGCAGGTAAGGGTTATCTTAAATTGTACACCTCTGTAATATATTCAGATGTACACTTTGGTTCCAGTCCTTTGATTCTGTCAGTTTTACCTGGTTGATGGACAAAATGCTGGTTCTAATTAAGTTCATCAATCAATATTTTGGGAGAAGATTGGCAAGAGTTCAAAGGCAATCAGAGGTTGTTGTTAAATATCAAAACCTTATTGTGCAAAATAAATTCAAGTGGTGAAATACTTAGTATACTGCAATGTATATTATAATACTGGTATTCAACATAGTTGGTTTTACACTTTCAATTGGATTGACTTTAATCCTTACAATTTGGTCAAACCATTGTCCTTAGATGTGCATACTTTCTGGATACCCTTGTCTCTCCACATTCTGATAAGTGTAACATCACATGTCTTAAAATTTCAACTGGATTAACATTAAAATTAGAAGGCAAGCTAAACATCATGTACACTCAACAAAAACTTCTCAAACACCTGTGCACGATGGATGTGAGAATGAGCAGAATGGGGCTTGTCATCTCGGAATGGTTTCAGGTTCTTCGTTCATTTTTAAGATTGCATAGTGCTTAAGCGCTCAAGAAGTTTTTGGTGAGAGTATACATACATACGCACATATTGTCTGAATGTTACAGTTCCTGTATTCTAAATGCATTTATACCTCTGACAAAAGGACTGTTCTGTGAAGACACATTATACTTTACATTTTTTAAACTTAAGCCTCTCATGAGCTTCAGTGATGCTTGGTTTAGACTGGAATTGGATCCTGGAATTTAACACATTTTTCAAGAATATTATTCTTTGAGATAATCATGAGAATATTTTTTTTAATTGTATTGTAATTGTCATTAACAGAAGAGATTTACTGAATTACTTTACCTTTTCCTCGGCAGGTTTATATCCGGGTCCGGGAACGTCAGGGTCTTTAGGTCAGCAACATGAATCTTCTCAAGGTAAGTTATAGATTTTATCTGTACCCTCATGCAACCACAAAGTTCTGTAGAGATTTAAAAAGAAATATTCGTTATCTGGTCAGTGGACCATCAAGCTGGTGCTTACTGTAATGAATTAAAACAAAAATCATTGTAGTAAGTGCAGTACAGTATTTGTAACAGTGTTTTTGTCATCATATGATAGAGTACGTATTGTGAAATGTGAGTTTAGCTTTCTGCTTTGCTGGATGAAACTTCTGCAACATTCGGTTACAAGGTTTACCATTTTATTTTTACCATTTCATCATCATAATTTCATAGCACATTAATAAAATATTTGCTTTATATTATTAATTCTGGCCTGAAAATTTTTTCACCTACAGTATTTTAGTTAGATTGTTGAAGTTTAACCTAAATTTTTTTAATTAGTGAAATATAACTGATGAAAAAATTCACTGTGTACACATGCACATAATATGGTCATGTTAACAACTTCACAACCTCACCTGGTTGTAAGAAATGTCACTTTTGCTGGACTGTAAGTCCCACTGACTTTTTCCTCGTTGTGTTAGGGGTAAACTGCTAAACTGCTATTTATCCTTGTGACCAAGTTATTGCATATGACAATGACCAATATCACACAAATCTAAGAATATTTAAAAATGTAAGTTTAGATACTGTACGGTAGTGTATTATTTTTGGTGTAAATTTTACCCTGCATAGTGGAGAATACGTATTCTGTAAAAGTACCCATCATCCAAATAGTGTCAATGTATGTTTATTATTGTACAATAAAGGGAATAGGAGGAAATTTTATATTATTGCTTTTGTTTCTTCTCCATGCAGTCTGAGTTTTCAAGCATTGTTCCCTCCCGATTATAATATTAACATTACAGTACTTGATTTGAGATGAAGTCCTTTGATACCACTGCTTCTACCATTGGTTACTCTGACTTCAGATCTGCAGTCTTATTTGTTTTACTGTTCATGCACGTACTAACTGGGATGAGGTTCTTTGGCATCATGGCACCTATCATGGGATGGAAGTACATCCTGGCAGAGATATGAAATTGAGCCTTCTGTGGCCTCATTTCCTCAAGATCATGTACACTATATGGTGCTCTTACTATAGTCATTGAGATAGGAGGTTACAGCCATCTCATTTTGTTTTTGCCACCTGGGGTGATGTCCTTTAGCAATAATGGACTCGAGTTTGAAGATAGTAATCCTGACCTGACCTCAGATCATGGTTTCAGTGACCTCATTTTTGTGAAACCTTGTATATGCCAATCCCACACCACCTAACCAGGGATGAAAGTCATTGACGCCAGTCTTGGGGTTGATGTGCACTCTGACCTTCCTTTAGTTAAGATATATTATAAAAAAAATTATTGACCATATTTCCACAAAATCTTGGATTATTCACATGCAAAGATGTTCTCTTAAGCTTTGGTACTGACCACATTGTACTGTATCCCTGATTGTAATCTGTATTTCACACTATTTATCTGTCTGTCTGTCTGTCTTGTCTATTAATTCTACTCCTCCCTACTCTTGTATGGGCAGCATCAAGAGGTGCAAATTAAATAAAAAGAGGAGAAAACAATTGGATATAAAGGTACAGAATGTGTAGAAAAAGTCAGAAATTTATAGCCTCCACATGGATTTATAATGCTCTGCTGTGAATACTAAGCTGACTTGTCAGGTTCATTTAAGCTACTGCCATCATGAATTAAAAATAAAATAAGGCTTTACAATACTTGAATCTCTCCAGGTCACCCTGTCTCCAAGCCTGTCCCCCCCCCCCCAGCCAGATAGGCAATTATCTATGATTAAAAATACGTTACAGATATTTTCTTACTTTAGAATGTTGGAATTTAATTTTATATCTAAAGTCATAGCCTATTGCAGTGTAGATGTTTAAAACTCGGGCACTATGATTCAATATCCATGTCAATTTTAATCTTGTCAAATTGTTACTGATGTCATTCATGTGTTACCCAAAGAAAAAATTCACCAAAAATCGAATAATTATGACTGACACTTGAAATTTTGGCATGTCACTCCTCGAAACATTCACTCTCGTGATAATCCAACAATACAGTACAGTCTGCATTTACGAGGCTTTTGTTTACGCGTTTGGTCATTTATGCGGTGCCTTGCCAGAAAGAAATGCTTTAATTACGCTGTAAATTTGGTCATTTACGCGGGAAGCGGCGCGGGCAGGGTGCGCACAAGGTCGCCCAGTCAACAAAACATTACCGAGTTCTTCACCCACCACGGCCGGCCCAAGTCACTGATAGTGAGGATATGGACTTTGAGGTGTTTGACAAAGAGGCCCTGCAAGCCTCTGTTGTGGATAGTAATACAATTGATACAAGTGATACAGGTGAGGGCCAATAATCTGCCCTCTGCCTTGGAACCAACCCCCCATCCCCGTGTGCCCAGCCATCTTTTCTACTTATGTAAGTGTTAAAAAACCTGTTATTATTAGTATTTCTCTTAATTATTAATTGTGTGTGCATACCATCATAAAATTAAGATGTTATTTTGACTACAAGGTACGTATTGTGTCGGAAAAAGTGGAGTTTGGGGGTCGGCCCAGTCTCTATTTCAATTAATCTCTATGTTCTGTTATTTCATTTACGCGTTTCTCGTTTTACGCAGGCCTCTACGGGTTCAATAGACCGCGTAAATGCAGACTATGCTATAATTAGATATATGTCAACTCCTCCTAGCACGATGGTGGCAAGGCTTGAGCACCCTTCACTCATCTACCAGCAGTCAAACCAGAATGTGCTGCACACTTTCCCTTTAAATTTTCTCCCGTTGTCCCTCTCTCACACCCCTGCAGTAATATTGCCTATAAAATTGTTTGTAAACTAATTTATTAGTTTAAAAATTTTTTTTAGTATATATTTTACTGATTCAAACTTATAAACATAGTTTGTGTGTGAACTGCTAGGTATGGATTTTTAATTCTATAATTGCTTACAGCCAAACCATACATGCTAGCAAAATTCTAAAACCACCGTAACATACCGAGACACTTATACAGTGGTCCCTCGATTAACGAACACAATTCGTTCCAGAAGGTTGTTCGTTGACCGAAAATTTTGTTAACTGAAACCATTATTTCAATGGGATTTTGGGTAATTGGTTCCAGCTCACCGAAAATTATGTACAAAGTAAAAAAATATGCAGTAAAGTACACGTACTTTGAGGTGTGTATGTAGAAGGCTCCTGGTTGATGATGATGAGAATTAGAAGTGGTGGTGGAGGAGAAGGGAGAAGAGAAGGAAGTGGGGATGGAAGAGAAATCACCCCATGCTTGATGCCGTCATTTCACCCATAAAATTTTAAGTTCACTAGGTGTAATTCAAGATTACTTTCTTTAAATCAACACTGCACTATATATTGTCAATGTGTTAAATAAATTTCAGAATGACCAATAATTGTACTGTAAAAACGTAAAAATACTTTATTTTCAAGATAGCCACAAGCAAGATGTTACCTCCACTGACCAGAGATACAAACTGACGCCTTGGTGGGTGAGTCAAGTAGCTGATTGGCGCACCAAAAACTAGTTTCCTGTACTGCAATTATGTTAAATAAGTGTTAAAATGACTAAAAACTTTAATATAAAACTTGGAAAATTATTGAATAGTACAACCTTCTTGATATTTACTCAAATGGTAATGAAATTAAGCCCTAGAACCGATTACTGTATTGGCGGACTAATATTCCAGCTGGTGAGCAAGCGAAAACATGTTGACATGATTTCGTAAGAATTTCGTTAACCGAATTTTTGTTCGTTAATCGAATTGAAGATTCTTATGGAAGGTAATTCGTTAACCGAGGCGTTCATTAACTGAGGAATCACTAATGGAATAATTGGTAAAAAAAATAAAAAATACAGTATACTGTTCAGTAAACCCTCGAAGATCTGGACCCGGGAAATTTGGATTTCGGAAGATCCGGACCAAAAAATTTGGTGGTTCTGGGCTTTTTTCTTTTTTTTATACACAAGGATTAGCCCACCCAGGCACAGGTCCCTGACCCATAATGGGGCCTGGGGGGCGAAAATGTAATAATAATTATTCAGACAAATAAAGTAAAAACAAAAATAAAATAATATTGATAACAATAATAATAATTATAACAACACTGCAATAATAATAATAATAATAATAATAATAATAATAATAATAATAATAATAATAATAATAAAAAAGAACCATAAAGAAATACAAAATGAAAAAAAAAGATCAAGAGTGAGAAACAATATGTGTATGTTGTGTTGTCAATGGTAAGAGAAACAATTGAGACCCTGCAATTGTGTGTAAATGAGGCAGAAAGTCAGATCAGCAACCTGGGACTGTCAAAATTTTTGTGATGCCATATAGCAGCAGGGTCTACCATTAGACAATACATTATGCTACCAATATCTTCCCAGGCAGTAGTACCTCCCTGTTTGGTAGCTGCCTACTACCTATTATCTAAGAAGCCTCCTAGAAGTTTCCCCAAGGAACATTCCCAAACCAGAGCAAAGAACATATTAGGCCCGTGGGTGCCGCTTGACCTGTCAGTTGTTTGGACACAGGTGCCCGAGGAGGTGGGAAACATAAACAGAGTTGACAATTGTTGTTTGTGGGAATATTATTTCAATAACTTAAGTAATGATACAATTTTAGTAATGTTATCATAGGTAAATGCCTAGTTTATATATGGTAATTTGTTTATCACCACATTAGTACAGTACTGTATTTTTGGCTTGCTCACGTGGGCTAATCTCCTAAAAAAAAAACTGAAAAATCGGACAATCAGCTTTTCCGCACTGGTGGTCCCCCCCTTTTAGTCTGGATCTTCGAGGGTTCACTGTATAATAATAATGGTGAGAACTTAAATAAGAGTGAACAATATTGGAAAAAAAATCTAGATACAGGGGTATTCCATTTTTTCTATTTACTAGTCTTATTGGTAAATTCACCACCAATACTGTGTAAAGTGTTAAAATGTCT